CTTTACACAAAATTTACTTTCTTCAATTCGCAATAGAAATTTTAGTTTAAATTAAATATAATTTTTTTTTTGGAAACATGGTAAACTTTTCAGATATACAGTATTAGATACAGTATATTGTAGTTATTCGAAAATTTTTCATTTTTTTTTTCACGTCGACATACAATATTTATTAATTATTTAATTCGCGATTCAAAGAAGAATATTGTAATAAATTAAAAAATCTTGCTAAAGTTATCATATCAATACTCTCTCTATATTTTTATTAAAGAACTGTTCACACTTTACGTATGTCTGTTAATTACCTTATGCCATTTACCAAATTACATTCCTATTTGTTTACCGAAACGTGTTGTATTTGTTCAAAGTCTTAACTTAGAGTTCTAGATTAAAATTATAAAAATCTGTCAAGTAAAACAAACGATAAGAAAAAAATTATCTAACGGAAATGTAGTTTGATAAAAATCTATCAATTTGTCAGAGGTCTTTTGATTTAGCTTTATTTAAATAGATATAAATTGCGTTTTACTGTCCGGTACAGTACAAAAAAACTAAGTATAATCACTATTTTTTAGACAATTATCTTCGCCAGTTTTCTAATTTATGATTAGAAATACACTATTAGATATTAAAGATAAAATTAATTTTAAAAGTATTTTACTCAAGTAATAAACCATTAAATACAAATAATAATAATAATAATAATCTAAAATTCATAGATTAAGTGAGAAGGAAATATTTATTTCTGCAGTAAATTGGAATTAGATATTGTAAAAATTTTAATAACTAAGAAAAAAATTACTATAGTTGTGCATTTCTAAGTACAAGTTACATAAACATAATTTAATTTAAATTTGGATTTGCGAATTTGTTTGAGATTCATACTGAACTGATATATTCTGAAAATTTTTTCGTATAATATAGTTTGCTTATATACGTGTCTTGTGAATGTATTTGTCTAATCGGTTCTGGTCTAATTTTATTAGCGTCCAAAAATTGATTTTTGATTTCATTACCATCTTTTTGATCTATTTCATCTAACCATCGAGTGGTTATCGCTGCAGTAGGTCGTTTATCAAGATCTTTATCCAAACATCTCAAAACTAACTTAATATAACAATGAGGTCCTAAACATTTATGCCTTAATCCACCGATTATTCTTGAAACAAGATAATCATCAAATGGAATTCCATTAAATGCTCTTTGTCCGGTCGAAATTTCTGTCATTATAACTCCAAAACTGTAAATATCTGACGCTTGAGTGTACGGTTGACCTATTAAAATCTCAGGTGCTATATATGGCAGAACTCCACAAATTTTTCCTTCCTTTTCTTCTCTGGAAAGTCCAAGATCAGTAATATGGGTTTGGCCGACCAAATTCATATATTTCTCGATCAAATTTGTAATGTTATACAAACTTCCAGTTTGATCCATCTTTGATAACTCATGATCTAGTAATCAGATATTGATGATTCTGGTACTATTTGAATCATCTCGGTGTGACAATTCAAATAGTACCAGAATTGTCAATATCTGATCACTAGATCGCGTGTTATCAAAGATAGATCAAACTGGAAGTTTGTGTAATAATACAAATTTGATCGAGAAATATACAAATTTGGTCGATCAAACCCATATATGCACTATGCAGAACACAATATAGTAAAATATTTCCACTGTGTAAATCTCTGTGAATGAATTGATTTGAGATCCAAAGCTATACTGTGCAAGAGACTCAATTTATCCTTCCATTCTAATCGTGAAACTTGCACAAGATTTTGTCGTAACGAACCTGTTGGTGCATAATCCAAAACAATAATATAATCACCATAATTATTTCTTGATACTCCTTTACATTCCAGGAATGAAGGATTCTCATAACCAATTTCACAGTAATTTTTTAATTCCTGAATAAATTCTTGCTCATTTTCGTTTGAATCATGAATCACTTTAAGTGCAACATTATTCCATGCATTATTGATTCTATCGAGTCAACGTGCATAATATACAGTTGCAAATCCACCTTTTCCTTGATATTTCTGAACTCATTATAATCAACCCAAGATAATTTAAATCTCTCATCATCTAATATTCTCTTAAGTTCAGGATTAATATAATCTGGTGATTTATTGGCTTTCAGATGATTTCTATATTTTGCAAACCAATAATTTGCGCTCTGAATATCTTTCTTTGTATCAATATCATTTCGATAAAATTGAGCAAGAATATTCATTCCTCCTTTACTACCCATATTAGCAGCTTTTTTATAGTATTCAAATGCTTTATTAAAATCTTGTTCAACCCCTCTTCCATTTGCATAACGAAAACCAACACCACACATTCCAAAAGCATTATCTAAATCAGCGGATCTTTTACAATATTCAAAAGATTTTTGGTAATTTATTTCTATTCCAATTATGTGATAATAACAAACGCCAACGTCCTTCATTGCACCCGACTTTCCTAACTCAGCTGCTTTCATATAATATTCAAAAGCCTTCTTTTCGTCTTTATTAACACCAATGTCATTTTGATAATTGTAACCAAGTTTACGAAGTTGTTTAGAGTCCATTTTATTTAAAGAAAAAAAGAAATCATAAATACAAACTTTTGTTCGGAACGGAGGGCATTTAGTGTTCAGTTGAAGTAATACAAAAGTTATTTCAATAGTTACATTTTTGATTATCTCATTAGTATGCTTGCATTTTTTATTTTTTCATATCTGGCATGCGTATTTGTTTTTTAGTGTAACTAAACCAAATTTTACTAGTACGTACGTAATTACTCTATAGTTTTAAAATGCAGAGTTACCGAACGAATGCCTTTTTGAAATATTTAATAACATCCAGAATGATTGTCAAAGCTTATATTCATGTCTTCTTGTAAATCGTCAATGGTATGAAAATTATTGTACAGATAATATGGAGTAAAACAGGAAACAAGTTATACAAAAGAAAGCTTATAATACATGCATACTGGAATTAAATGCAGAAGAACAAGCGCTATTAATTCCATTTAAAATTCGCTTTCTAAATTATCCAAGCCATACAACCCTATAAAATATAATTGGTTTGTATTTGTGTTTAAAATTATATATTATTTGTGTTTAAAATTATGTGCTATTTGTATATAAATTATATACTATTTGTATAAATCATTGTATAATAAATATTTGAAAAGGGGCCATTTTGTCTAATATTTGTTTTATATATTTATTTATAAAAAGTATAATTTTTGTATAAATTATTATTGTTAAAATGTTTAAAAAATATATGATTTTTATTTAAATATTGCCTCAATATTTGATTTTTATTTTATTAATTAATTTAAACGCATTACAAATTATATGCACCAATTCATATCGTAAGCTAAGCTAACGCTAATACATTTGATTTTCTATATAAAAATTCTCATAATAATTCTAAATAAATATATACCCGATAAAGCATATGCATTTTTTTTTTCTAGCGTTTCTAAGTTATATATAGCTAAGTTCTTCACGCTCAAATTTTTTTGCATTCTTTTTATTAAATAATTAGTCTTCATTATTATGTAAACGTCTGTTGGGTCTCAGCACTCGGGAAGGTACGATAGACATTTGTTTATCTAAATACAAATAAAAATAGATTTATTATATGTATGTATCGTATTAACATTCAAAAACATTACATCATTATCCTAAAATAATATATACAGAGTATAATTATTCTCTATGTATTTTTTCATAATAATATAACAAGAAGATGAATACCTTTATTTTTTGAAGCTCTCAATTTTTTCACTTGTCGATTATTAGAAGTTACTTTTTCAGAATATTTCTTCATTCATTTTATCGGATGTTATTGCCTGTGATGATTTTAAGCCTGAGAGAGTTGAAGCTGGGTGTTTTTTAGCGGAATTTTTTTTTGGTTTTGATGTATTGACATTAGTCATGCTTTCTTCGTCCATAATAGTTCTTGTTCATTAGTAGAGAATGTTTCATGATCAGTAGTAAAATCAGATATAATTGATTTAAAAAACATATATATTTAGGGAATTGATATTTCCACACCTGTTTTTTGATAATGCCACACCCCCGCCGATCATTCTAATTTTTACAATTTTCTCAAACTTTGATCGAAGATACCTCGATATTTACTTAACCAAATTTGACAAACTTTTTTTTTCTTTGAATTCTACAGATTTTTACAAATAAAATAAAAAAAAGATTATCAAATTTGACTAGGTGGTTGTCGAGATATTTTCGATCAAAGTATTGTAAATTTAACATCTATCAAATAGAAGTCGCGTTGCAGTGTTGTGAAACTTTGATCGAAGATATCTCGACACCCACCTGACTAAATTCGACGAGTTTTTTTTTTATTTGAATTCTACAGATTTCTACAATTAAAATAAAAAAAAAGCTTATCAAATTTAGTCAAGTGATTGTTGAGATATCCTAGACCAAAGACTTTGTAAATTTTGAACGTCTACCGCGTTGCAGATTGTTGTGAAACTTTGATCGACAATATCTCCACACTCACCTGACTAAATTCTATGTGCTTTTTTCTCTTTGAATTCTACATCTTTCTATAATTAAAATAAAAAAAGCTCATCGAATTTAGTTAGGTAGTTGCCGAGATATCTTCAATTAACTTTTTTAAAAATTAAAAAATTAAAATGATCGGCGGGGGTGTGGCATTATCAAAAAAAGGTGTGGAAATATCAATTTCCTATATTTAATATATAACTACTCTTAACTCTTTCTGTTGTTAGTTCAGAGACGTGCTCTTAATCTAAGTATTCATCTAAGTATTCGTCGCCAGACAGAGCTATAATTAAGAGTTTAGTTATAGATGTTATTAAAGAAAATATCAAATTTTTATAATTATTTTATACCCATTGTTTCTCTTTCAGTAATTCGGGTATCATTATTGTTTTTTGTAGCATCACATTCTTTTTTGCCTATATTTTAAAGATAAAATAGAATTAGTTTACAAACTTACTTATCAATACCAATTCTAAAATTTCATATGTTGTTGATTAATAGAACGACACATCATCTTAATTGCCCAATCACCAATACATTCTGGAAAATCCGGATTATTTGCTTTTTACTAACAAATATTAAATTGAAAATAGTAAGTATCAGTATATATTATTATTTAAAGTTGCAATAATTTTACCTTTTTGACTAACAATCATATCTTGGTTGTACTTAATTTACGATATTCTGGTGTATTAGAGGTCCATAATCGAGTAATAAATTCACGCATTGCATTCTAAAAAAAATGTTTATAAAATTTTTAAAAATCAAACAGTTAATAATATTACATACTATCAAAGGTTATAGTGAATTATTAATGCCCTATATGATGCATATACTTTATAATCGACTGATAATATTTCTGCCAAGTTATACCACTTTAAACTTGGAGGTTTAGTGATAGGAGTTTTTTGAGAAAGTAATTTCTAAAAATTATAAAGAAGTTATATAAAAAAAACAAACTAAAACAATAAGTTATTAAGATTATAAATTAATACCTCTTTAGTTTCACTTTCAAAATCACTTAAAGTAGTATTTTTGCGTTTTTTTGTAAATTTGCATTTTTTCTGAATTTGTTGACTACTTAATTCATCTGTTTCAGAGCTATTAGGGTTGTCAGAATCAATGGCCTTTTCATAATATTTTTTATTGCTTTTTTTTCTTTTTGGTAATTGTTTGTTATGGTAATAATTTTTGAATTACTAGAATTACTAGAATTACTAGAAATTATAATCTTCTTAGACAACTTATTAGTATTTACTAAGCTATTAACTGTTTTAAAAGTACTTTTTTCAAAACATTGACATTATTAAAGCTTTGCTTAATGCCAGGTCGTTGAGACTGTCAAAGCTTTTCGTTTTTAGCTTTAAGGCATTCTAACTGAGTTTTTAAACTAGAAAATTTATAATCATTAGTGACATCTTGACTGCTATTAATAGAAGAGAATTCTTTAGGGAGCTGACAATTATCAGGTGATTTTCTGGGGGGTCAAAAAAATTGAAATTTTATATATAAGACCTGATAATTTGTATATTAAAAACTAGGGGGGTAAGCCTCTGATAAAAAAAAATCAGATAATAAATGATACTGCCCTTATTATTAGAAGAACTATGTTTGTTCTTTCTATTTAGTTGTTTGGATGGTGGCATAATAGTCAATAAAAGTTCATTAATAATGTTCAAAAAAAAGTAGATTTTATGATTTGTAATTAATTTATATTTATATACTCAATCATTTGTTTGACTATGAATAAAGCTTTAAATTTGAATTTAAATATCTTATTCAATTTATCGTTAAATATTTTGTTCAAATTAAATATCGATTTTTTTTTATTTAAAAAAAAATCTTATTTGAATTTGAATGTAAGTTTATTTTAAATATGTTACAAGTTTTTTAAAATTTATAATTAATAATAATTCTTACTATAGTAAAAAATGAATACTTATAGAGTTTAGCGAAGAAAGTGATATTATAGAACTTTATCTTATACCTACTGCTAACTACAAAGATCAAGTATATTGTAAATATTCTTTATATGCTAAGAAAGGTCATAGTAGTAATTAGGTTAGCAAGAGAACTCAATCTAGGTATATGAAAACTCAGCGCACTTATCAGAAGCTTACTATAGTATCTTCAGAGTCATCAGATTCAATTATTGAGCGATGATCAAATTAATGAGTTAAGTTTTTATTATCATTATTAATTAATTTTAAAGTTTGCTGCAGCATATAAATCTCTGCAAGATTTATCACTAAAAAAACAATTAATCTATTTTAATAAATTTTAGTAAACTAAAACCTGTTTGTAATCAAGATTTATCATGGTTAGACTCTAATATAGAAATGCAAAATTCGTTTAAACTTCAAGATTTATTTTTACCAGATATTAATGCTAAAACCTTATCTAAAACTTCATCTAAAACTCAAGATTCAGTAATTTCAAGTAGTGATAATGAAATTTTACAAAAAAGCAATAATTCAGAAATTTTTTAGAAGATGAATTTTTTATTTATAATACAATATCAGATGATTTTTCTGATTCTGAGCACAATTATTTAGTGGATGAATTTTTTACTTGTAATATAATATCAGACGATTATTCTTACTCTGAGAACGATTATTCACAAAATGATACAGAATTGAACAATAATATATCAGAGAAATTGGCTATCACATTAAGACTGTTTAAAGTAAAAATTTAATAAAATTTAACTGATGAAGCATTTAAACAAACTATAATTGCAGTTAATGCCAAATTAATTAGTTTGCATTTGTTAAAAAAAAATTAAAGTCGTTTGTAGATATTGAATCTATATAGACAGATATATACTTTAATTCTTGATATGCATATACTAGAAATTATTAAACATTAGTGAAATGTCCAATTTGTAAATTAGATCATTACTATTATCTTAGAAAAATAGAAAGTCACGACAGCAGTTTGTATATTTTTTACTTGGGCAACATCTCTTTATTCAATATAGAGATTATAATTATACAACAGAATTGAGATATAGATTTAATTATATGATGCAAAATAATAATCAAATAGAAGATATCTTTGATGGTACTTATTAGGAGGCATCCATAAATAATGTTATGTTTGAGGGGAGGAGGGGTCCCCAAAATATAATGATTTTCTAATATTTAGAGGAGGTCCCCTAAAATATAACGCAATTTTATTATAAAAATTTGTCTAAAATTTGATCCAGTGGTCCAAATTGGATGATTTTGGTACCATTCGAATTCTCTTGAGAAGCAGAGTCAAATGGTACTAATTTTATTTGATTTGGATTACTGAATCATGTTTTAATAATGAAATACTATTGGTTATTATGTTTTCTTATAAAATTACTATAAAATCAATAGTATTTCATTAATAAAACATTATCCA